TTTTAATATAATTTTATTAAAATAATATAATTTTAATTATTTTTTTACTTAATTTTTTATAATACAAATCGATATACACTTTTCCTATATAAAAATAGGTACAACATTATGTATCAATCCGCTCGGATCTTTGTTTTTGTAATGATCCATTCTCAGTTGTGGTCCTACAAGTACAAACTGCCATCCCCCCTTCTAAAGTGCCGTATGCATTATTGATTGTGCTACCTTATCCTTTCACCCTTTGAAATGGCAATAGCATTACCCATCCTATTTCCATTGCCTATTTTCAAAAAATGCATTACCCATCCTACTGTGACCCAGTAGTCTTCTGTGTCCTACCCAATTGTAGTAGTGATGAAATCTAGTGGATCAGCACTAATAACCTTTTATTTGAATGAAAAGAACTAGATTTATTTTAAATAAATTTTTAAATTTAAATTTTATAAATAAAAAAATAAATACTTAAAAGAATTTATCTTTTATAATGTCCAACACAACTCGATTTTAAATTATTTAAGATTTCATGTAATTTTTAAATATTAGAAGATTTAATAAAAAGAAAAAAAAAACCGATTGACTTGAGTTTTAAATTTTGAGTTTAAGTAATAAAAAAAAGGGATTTATTTTTTATAAATTAAATTACATATTAAAAATACAATTTATTTTATAAATCTTTAATATACAATCTGTTTTATATAATATTTTTTTGATAAAAAAAAAATGTAAACTCCCAAGTCTGAATTCAGCTGGCAAGGACAACTAAACATCATAACCACCACACCTAAGGCATGTTGGTTCGAGCCCCACCGACATTTCCCCATCCCATATCCTTGTAATTGCCAAACTTAAAACCCCTAGTAATAATGGATGCTATTTAGTGTTACATCTTAACAACATTTAATATTATGATTACTTGAATCACAATACTTTCTCTTGGTTAATTTTTAAAATAATTATTTGACTAAAGTAGTAATATTTATGACTAAATAGCAAATGGTGACATAATCCCAATAAAAAAATGACAACAATAATAATCTTAACAAT